TTAAAAAAAATCCCCACTTTTGCCCAAAAAAAAACGTTGGGGGGGGGGGGGTAGGTAGAAACCCTTCCTCTTCCAGTTAGGGTTGCCAGCTCCGGACTGAGAAATACCTTGAGACTTTGGGGGTGGAGCCTGAGGAGGGCGGGGTTTGGGGAAGGGGAGGGACTTCAGTGGGGTATGTCCGCCTTCCAAAGCAGCCATTTTCTGCACGGGAACTGATCTCTGTTGCCTGGAGATCAATTCTAATCCCAGGAGATCTCCAGCTATCACCAGGAGGTTGGCAACCCGACTCTTCCTGCAACACTGTTCTGAGCCCATTTGGGGTCTCTCTCCCTCTCCCTCTTTTTGAGGAGCCTTTCCTCTGCAGGTGCTGTGTGGCTGCAGGGAAGGCGAGTTTCTTTAGAAAGCGTTGTGTGTAGCTTGGCTCAGACAGGAAGAGCAAAACGCAAACCTAGGCCAGTGGTTACGGTTGCCAGGTCCCCCAGGGGGGCAAGGGTTTGCCCGCTCAATGGGCCCTTTACCCGCCAGCCCAAATTGGGCCACCGGGGGGAACCCCACCCCCAAAGTGCCGCGCATGTTGCGGGGGGGGGGCACTATCACTCGAGGGAAAACTCTATGGTTCCCCCTTGAATGATAGTTGTCCTGCCCCTAATGTGTCCAGGACTCCCCCACCAGAGCAACAAGTAGGACCTGGCAACCCTACCTGTGGTCTTTAATCTTTCCAGGCAGATGGCCGTATGGTAGCCCTTAAACTGCAAGCCTGTGACATCCGAGACACATTATAAAATGATAGGAAGGGGGGGAGCCAGTCTTATGACCTTGGAAGTGACGCTGGTGGAAGTGCCATCAAGTCACAGCTGACATGGCAACCCCCGTAGGGTTTTCAAGGCACGAGACATTCAGAGGTGGTTTTCCATTGCCTGCCTCTGCCTAGCAACCCGGGACTTCCTTGGTGGTCTCCCATCCAAGTACTAACAAGGGCTGACCCTGCTTCGCTTCCGAGACCTGGCAAGACTGGATCAGCCTGGGTCATCCACACCAGGGCATTGTGACCTTACTGGTGTCCAAGCCAGGACACTGAGCAGCAGACCGTGAGAGCCATGAACGGGGAACGCAAGCCAAGCACCAAGAGGTGTGTCATAAGAAAGAACAAGCCACTGGTTACAGGCAGGGCTATTTTTGGGCAGGAACGCACAGGAACGGAGTTCTGGCTGGCTCCTGAGTTGGCCACACCCAGCAGGAACTCATTAGCATAATAGGCCACACCCAACAGCAGGAACTCATGAGGATTGGCTACATTAGGGGTGTGTGGCCTAACATGCAAAGGAGTTCCTGCTACAAAAAAGCCCTGGGTTTTGACAACAAACAAGGTAAACAGAATAAAAAGCAAAAGGTGGGTGGGGCTGGATGACCACATTTCTGGTAACATGTGGGGTGTGGCCTAATATGCTAATGAGCTGTGCGGTCAGGGGTGTGGCCTAATATGCTAATGGATCCCTGCTGTTGGGTGTGGCCTATTATGCTATTGAGTTCCTGCTGGGCTTTTTCTACAAAAAAAGCCCTGGTTACAGGCATGGAGGAACGGCCTTCACCGCCAAGTAACCTCAACTAACTGACCCGCTGATCACCTCTGCATGAGTATGAGGCATCTTCACTTTCTATGCATGCATGCAACCAACCGGTCCTTCCAGACCAGTAATGCACCGTGTATACCGACTGCCCAAAGACTGAACTGCGTGTTCTGTGCACTGGCGGCAGAGTGCAAGTCTGCCTCACCAGAAGACCGGTTTCTCTCACCTGGAAGGCTTCCGCACTCTTGCTTTCTCGAAGGAAAACCGAGGCTGCTCCGACAGGTCGTACGTCCGGGTGGTGGGCTCGGCCGAGACCCCTTCCTTGGCCCCTCTCCTCCTGTTATTAGACGCCACCGGGCCGACCTGGGGTGTCTCTCTAAGAGGGGAAAAGAGGAAGGGGTTCGCCCCCTGGGTGTCCACCACATCCTGCAGCTTGTTCAGCTGGATGCATTTACACTTGAGCTCCTCGGTGAGGTCGGCGATGGTCCGGGTCTGCTTGGCCAGCTGCTCCTGGAGCTCGATGATGTGGTAGCTCCTCTCCTGCAGCTCCTCCTCCTGCCTCTTCAGCTCCCTTTCCAGCTCCCAAACTTTGCTCCGCAGGAGGTCCGCTGCCCCGGCGATGGTGCTGATGTTCAAAACTGGCTCCTTCCCCAACTTGCCGCCGCCCGAGCAGCCGAAAGGGCAGTTCTCCGCATGGCCGTCGGGCCTCTTCATATACTTGTGTTTTACCGATCCATTTCCCATTTGGGCTGGTGACCTAGGCCAAAGAAAAGAGATCAGAACCTGGCTGGGGTCATGGGAGGAAACACGCAAGAAGAGCGTTGGGCTGGAGGCGGAAGGCTAAGACCTAGAGATGTAAAATTTCTGGAAATTTTGAAGCTCGGAAAAAAACCCGGTTTTTTGCCAGTTTTTTTCCGGGGGAAAAACGGAAACCTTCGGAAAAATGGAAAAAATGCTACATTAGCATTTCTTTTGTCTTTTCTAGATTGAAAGTCATTCTGTTACTTTAGGAACATAAAATACGACTATGGACATTTTTACTTGGCATGAAATTATCACAACTAGCATATTAAAAATATAGTGTATCCAAACAATTATTACAAACAGAATACCCACCCACATGCAAAAACAAAACTGGAACCTTTTTATTTTCTTTTAACAATAGCACCTCCTAAAGGAAGAAATGCATCTTGTTCTTGCATTGGAGAGTTCAGTTTGTAACCTAGGACTTGCTTGTCCGCAGTGCAGAGAAATTAGATCAATCTGATACCATATATATGATTTGGAAAATATTTGAACACCTTGTCTTAAAATATTTTATTCATCATGTAAAAATGAAACATTCCATAATCAATTTTTTTTCTTTTTTCAATTTTTCAGAAAAAACAAAAAAGCTTCGGGGGGAAAACGGGAAAAAACCTTTTTCCCCCCAGATTTTTCCGGTTTTTTTCCGGGCCTTCACATCTCTACTAAGACCCCAGTGCGTCTTGCCGAGAACTGATGCCCGGTCCCGCTGCGACAACCCCCCGCTGAGCTGAGCACAGCCCTAGCCCAGATTTATCCATCTCCAAGGAAGGCCGGGAGAGGGAGAAGAAGAGGAGAAGAGTTGGTTTTTATATCCCGCTTTCCTTCAACTTCAGCAGTCTCAAAGTGGCTTGCAATCTCCTTCCCTTCCTCTCCCCACAACAGTAGAAAAGAGCAAGGGTCCAGTATCACCTGAAAGACTAACAAAATATGTCGCAGGGTATGAGCCTTTATGAGTTACTGCTCAGGTCTGAAGAAGTGAGCAGTGACTCACGAAAGCTCATCCACTGCCGCATATTTTTTTAGTCTTTCAGGTGATACTGGACCCTTGCTCTTTTCTACTGCCCCAGACAAACTAACACGGCTACCCATCTTGATCTAACTCACCACAACAGGCACCTTGTGAGGCAGGTGGGGCCGAGTTTTGAGAGAATGGTCACTGGCTCAAGGTCACCCAGCAGGCCTCATGTGTCTCAAGGTGGCTTACAATCGCCTTCCCTTCCCCTCCCCACAACAGGCACCTTGTGAAGCAGGTGGGGCTGGGAGAGTTCTGAGAGAATGGTCACCCAGTAGGCCTCATGTGTCTCAAAGCGGCTTACAATTGCCTTGCCTTCCCCTCCCCACAACAGACACCTCAGGAGGCAGGTGGGGCCGAGAGAGTTCTGAGAGAATGGTCACTGGCTCAAGGTCACCCAGCAGGCCTCATATGTCTCAAAGCGGCTTACAATCCCCTTCCCTTCCCCTCCCCACAACAGGCACCTCATGTGGCAGGTGGGGCTGAGAGAGGTGCGAGAGAATGGTCACTGGCTGAAGGTCACCCAGCAGGCCTCATGTGTTTTAAAGTGGCTTACAATCGCCTTCCTTTCCCCTCCCCACAACAGACACCTCAGTAGGTGGGGCTGAGAGAGCTCTGAGAGAACTGTGACTGGCCCAAGGTCACCCTGGCTTTATGTGGAGGGGCAGGGAATCAAACCCAGTTCTCCAGATTAGAGTCATCTACTCTTCACCACGACACCACACTGGCTCTCGTAACCACTACACTATGCCAGAGGTGGCGGGGACCCAGGCAGATCACTCGGACACAGGCAAGAATAAGGCAGGGGGCCAGGATGAGGTGGAGAGGGGCACGGCCAGAAGGCAAGGCCAAATTCAAACTTGGGGAAGGCCAGAATGGGAGAGGTAGTATTGCCAGCTCTGAGCAGGGAAATGTCTGGAAATGCTGAGATACAAAGGAAGCTGCCTTCTACTGAATCAGTCCCCTGGTCCGCCAAAGTCAGTATTGTCTACTCAGATTGGCAGTAACTCTCCAGGGTCTCAGGTGGAGGTCTTTCATAGCACCAACTACCTGATCCTTTTAACTGGAGATGGTGGGGATTGAACCTGGGACCTTCTGCATGCCAAACAGAGTCTCTACTACTGAGCCACGGCCCCTCCTGAGGAGGGCAGGGCTTGGGTAGGGGGGAGGACCCTCAGTTGGGTATAGAATGCCATAGAGTCCACCTTCCAAAGTGGCCATTTTCTCCACGCAAACTGATCTCTGTCACCTGGAGCCCAGGAGCATTCCAGCTTCCACCTGGAGGTTGGCACTCCTACGGAGAGGTTAAGAGGCAGCCCTGAGCCGCAAGGGGGAAAAGCGGAGCAGGGAGGCAGGCAGCAGGAAGAAGAAGCAGGAAAGGCCTCGCTTTCTGTTTATAGCCTCTCAGGCGGAGCAGGTGGAAGGGGATTGGACACAGGCCAGGTGGAGGTGGAACCTTCCCATAAAAGGGAAGGGGGGGTCGCTCTCCAGGCCTTCCCTCTGTAGCCATGCATGCAGAAGTTTTGGCTGTAGTGGGCGTGGCCAACTCTGAAGCCACCTGGAACTCCGTTCCTGTGCATTCCTACCCCAAAATAGCCCTGCCTACAACCCAAGAAAACTTTATTGCATGCTAAGCAAAGTTTCTCTGTGTCTTCCCATCACATAAACAGAAAAGGCTTAGCCCGGGTGCCAGACGCTGCGTAGCCTCTCCAGAAAAGCAAAATGCATGCTGCTTCTCTGGCCTTTGAATTGTTGCATTCCAGAGTATTTACATGCAAACAGCCCTATTGTGTTGCAAAGCTTCCCTATACTAACAGACGCCTGTCCATCTCGACCATACAAGGGAAAACCATAGAGTTTTCCCTCGTATGGCCGTGGCCCCGCCCCCAGCGTGCCCGGCGTCATGACGTCACTTCCCTGTGACGTGCACACTGGGGCGGGGTTCCCCCCGGGGCCCGATTCCCCGGTGTCGGGGAATGGGCCTCTGGGGCGGGGGGATTTCCGCCCCCCGGGGGGACTTGGCAGCCCTAAGCAGAGCAAATGCTAGATGCCGATTGGGCCTCAGCCTCACAGTTCTAGTTCTCCCAACACAGAAATGGAGAGTAAAGCTCGAGATTTTCATACCTCCCACCCTCCATCTACCAGGACATCTGCTGACGTGCCGTCCCGCTTTTCCAGAACAACAGCCTAGACACCCTGCTGCTCTCCTCGGACACCCCTAATAAGAGTTTCACACATCGCCACTGAAATTCTGGTGTCAGGCTGACAAGGGAGTGACACGAAGCAGCAGGCGTGTGGGGGAGAAAGGGCGATTTTTTTAAAAAAGGAAAGCAGTTCACCTTTGCCCTTGCTACCGCACCGAAGCTGCCGACTTGTTTTTGAAAAATTACTTATGTTCTCACATTGAGGCTCAAATCACACTTAAAAAAAAAATCATATTCCCAGATCTCAGACACAAACAATAACTACTTCGGTACCAAGCTCGGTTTGCTAGTCCTAGGCATGAGGAATGACCTCTAAGAGCCTGGGAAATCAAGGGAACCAGATATTTTTTTACAGCCCTGCATATGCTGGGTGTTTCTGACTGTGCCATATCCTATTTTACCCTGACCTGGATGGTTAGCCCGATCTCATTAGATCTCGGAAGCTAAGCAGGGTCAACAATGGTTTGTACTTGGATGGGAGACCACCAAAGAAGTCCAGGGCCACTACGCAGAGGCAGGCCATGGCAAACCCCCTCTGTTCGTTTCCTGCCTTGAAAACCCTATGGCAGGGCTGGCTCCAGGTGTTGAGGGGCCCTGGGCAGACAGTCCCCAAAGGCCCCCGTCAGTCTACCACCAGGCCCTTGCAGGCCCGTAGCCAGGATTTTTAATTCTGGGAACCTTTAAATAAGTCGGGGCACCACACACACACTCCTGCCCCCCAAAGGAGACTGGAGGGGATGTTGGGGGGGCTTTGGCAGTAAGTCAGGGGGCCAGGCCCCAAAATAGCCCACTGTAACTACGGGCCTGGGGCCCCCCTCATATCTTTCCACCCCTCACCTGTGTGCTCCCCACTTTCTCCCACTCACGAACCCTCCCACTGTCCATGCTCAGTTGCCTGCAAACCCTTTCCATGACTGTACTGGCTGGTACATACGACTCGGAGGGCTGCTGCCATGGCTACCAGCAGCATCGCCTTTCCCAATGACCCTGGGCCACTGGGAGCAGGGGTGGCAAAGCATTTTAACCAAACGGATGGGGAAAGGTGTGCAAATGGGTATGTGAGTGGGGGTCAGGAGCAGGGGGCCCCACCGGGAGCCCTGGGCCCTGGTAGCTACCCCGCCAGTCCTGCCCTGCGAGGTTGCCATGAGGGGGCTGACCCTTTGCGTCACTTTACCAAACACACTCGTGCTGCTTTCTGTCTTGTGACTCGTCCGATGGATTTGCTGACTTCTTAATGTCATGCGAGACTGTCCCAGCATATGAGCATTGGCTTGGCATGCAGAAGGTCCCAGGTTCAATCCCCGGCATCTCCAGTTTAAGGATGAGGCAGCAGGTGACGTGAAAGACCTCCGCCTGAGACCCTGGAGAGCCGCTGCCCGTCTGAGTAGACAATACGGTCTTTGATGGACCAAGGGTCTGATTCAGTAGAAGGCAGCTTCATGTGTTTATGTGTTGTTGGCCAGGAGCCATGCTGAGAGATCCTTAAACGGATCTTCCCAACATTCTTAACACGGGGATAGCAGCCCCACGGGACCCTGGTTTCGGGTGGTGAGAGGGAGTGGTGGAAACCAGCAAAGCCAGGTTTTTATAAGTTAAGTGCTGTCAGGTCACAACCGATGTCTGGCAACCCTGTCGTGGGTTTTTCAAAGCAAGAGATGAGCAGAGGTGGGTTCCCACCGCCTGCCTCTGCACAGCAACTCGGGACTTCCTCAATGATCTCC